GCCCGGGGCTGGGGCCATGGACAGCCGCTGCTATGGATGTGCGTCCAAGTTCTCTGTCTTCAAGAAAGAGGCAAGTCCGGCTGCGGGGGGTCAGGAGCGGCCGGTCCCGCGGTGCTGAGTGAGAGAGAGGGGAACCGGGAGCTGTCTCGCCCGGCGCTTCCCAGCCAGCAGCCTGGCGTGGTTGGCCTTGCTTACCGAGCTCTCGTAGTGCCTAGTTCCAGTGCCTTCACATATGGTAGGTTACTGACAAAAAAATCTCAACCAAAAAAACCATCCAACCCAACAAAAAACCCCAACCAACCAATCAACCAAAAAAACAACCCCCCAAACCAAACCAAAACCAAACAAAAAACAAAGCCAACCAACAAACAAGTCGTCATTGAATGCCATCTCTCTAATGCAGTATTCAGTCATTGTCTCAGACAATTCATTCAAACACACACACACACACTTTATTATCCTATGGGGTGAACTCTGCTCCCAGCAGGGGTTATGTGCTCGTGCTTGGAGACTCATATCTTTAGCAGCAGCTGGTGATACAGTTCTCTTAAATAATCAGCATAACCCCATCATTCCTTCCCGTGCTCCTTGGCACAGGCACTGTGCCTGCGTGTGGCCGGGCAGGGCGAGGGGGTGAAGCCCTGTCCTGCCCCTTTCTTGTGTCTCTGCAGTGTGGGTGCAAGAACTGTGGACGGTCCTTCTGCTCGGCCTGCCGGAGCTTCACTGCTGTTGTTCCCCGCTGTGGAAGCACTCAGCAGAAGGTGTGCAAGCAGTGTCATGAAAATCTAACCGGGTAAGATAGGAGTATTTCTTCACCCAAAGGCAGTTCCCAGCTTGTTTCTTCACTTTACATCCCAGTGTTGTGTTGCAGGTTTCTGTATGAGAGCTGTGCCTTCCACTTGTGCAGGGATTCTGCCAGTAGTATCCTGAGTTTCAAGACAGACTGTTTATGAACTGCTGTTATATGAGCTGTGCAGTCCAAAGATAGGAATCAAGATTTGTGCCTGTTCTCTGTGGTGACACAGTAGTCTGAAAGGACCAGGTTTAAATTTTCATGGATGGACACTGAATTAGTTAGGTGAGCCCAGGTTAAGCCCCACTGTGTTTTTGCCCAGAGATCTATATCCCATTAAAAGCACTGGCAGTCTTTTCAGATGTGTGCTAGTTGAATAGCTTGGCAGTAAGATGTTCGAAGTGTTACTGCCTCTGTGGGCATACAGTGAAACAAATCTTCCTTGCAGAGAGACTTCTATTATGTGAAGCCTCAAGACTTAAAATTTTGTAGCATACAGTCAGTTTGCTTTTAAAAGAAATCAAATTTATTTGCAAGCATAACCTGTAAATTGACTGTTGAAAACAATAATATCTAATTCAGTAGCAGCATGGGTTATACACGTGAACAAGGAACACAAGAACACCAGTGTACACTGGAATCCCTGTCAACCAAATCTGTGTCCTTTTTCTTCTCTTGTATTTCTCTTTCTTCTCTTCCCCACTTCTTTCCCATAGCAAGGACTTTTCACCAGCAAGTGGAAAATTTTCTGCCTCTGCGGGTGTCTAAAACTCATTAGCAGAGGTCTTCATTTCAGAAGCACTAGATTATGAAAATAGTGAAATACAGTATCCAGTATTTTCAGGTGTGAAATTGCCCCTTTTGTATTTCCCTTTACTTCAAAGCCATTAAGAAAACAGGTCAGCCTTTCTCCATATGTCATCTGGGCTTTTTTTCCTCATCATTTTAATATCACTCCTGTGGAGCTGCAGCAGAAAATCCTTCCTGACTGGATAGTGGGTAGATCATAGAATCATAGAATGGTTTAGGTTGAAAGTAACCTCAAAGATCATCTAGTTTTAACCCCTGCTGCCACAGACAGGGACAATTTTTCACTAGCCATATTGCTCAGAGCCCCATCCAGCCTGTCCTTAAACACTTCCAGGGATGGGGTATCCACAGCTTCTCTGGGTGACCTGTTCCAGTCCCTCATCACCCTCACAGTAAAGAATTTTTTTCTAGTATCTAATCGAAACCTACTTTCTTCCAGCTTAAAACCATTCTCCCTTGTCCTGTCACTGTAAAAAGTCCCTCTCCATCTTTCTTGTAGCCTCCCTTCAGGTACTGGAAGGCTGCAATTAGGTCACCCCAAAGCCTTTTCTTTTCCAGGCTGCATAATTCCAATTCTCTCAGTGTTTCCTCATAGGAGAGGTGCTCCATCCCTCTAATCATCTTGGTGGCCTGCTCTGGACTCACTGCAACAGGTTGATGTCCTTCCTGTGCCACGTACCCCAGAGCTGGATGCAGCACTCCAGGTGGGATATCACTGGAGCAGAGTAGAGGGGCAGAATCCACTCCCTTGACCCTGGGCCCACACTGCTTTGCATGCAGCCCAGGACACGGTTGACTTTCTGGGCTGCAAGCACACATTGCCAGCTCACATGCAGCTCTCATCCACCAGTGCCTCCAAGTCCTTCCCAGCAGGGCTGCTCTTGGGTGGTTCATCCTGACCTAGGTGCAGCACCTTGCACTTGGCATTGTTAAACTACATGGAACCATGAGCTTGTCCAGGTCCTTCTGGATGGTATCTTGTCCTTGAGGTAATACACACAGACTGCAGTTTCTGTAGGGTTGTTTGTCATGCAAATAGATTTCAGAATTGAGGCCTTAGAACTTTGGAAAGCGTTCCAACAATGTTGTACTCGTGGGTTGCTATACAGGCCTTAGCTGTGTTTGTGGCTGTGACTTCCAAGAATTAATGAAATATGCTAACTACCTTACATAAGTTTCTAGTTTAGCCCCTCAATCTGAACACAGCAAAGCAGAAGGTAGTTATACAATATGTGTTTATGGTGTGCAGTGTTCAGGTGTGCTAGAAGATGACATTATGATGCTGGTTATATAATAACAGTTGTAACACTTTGTTTCACTGGTGTATTATATAATTCTGTGTTGCCTGCCCCAGCTCCTTTCAGAGTGTTCTGCTGCACAGAAGCTAATTACACTGGGAGTCTTACCTAACTTCTCTCTATCTGCTCTCTGAACTGGTAGGTGCAGGCTGTAGGAGGCAAAGGTGTTTCAGCCTCACCTCCTTTGAATCACTGGTGACCAAATCACATTCTGTCCGGATGTAAAACAACTGGACCAAAGAACTAGAAATGAAGTCCTCTGCTGTCCCTGCTGTACTGTCTTAATCCCTTCCATAAGCTGGTTGTTCTCAGTATTAATGAGGTTATGAAAGGGGCTGTACTAGCAGGTCGAGGAACATCTACTGGTTCCTCTTGAGTTGAAAGACTAGACAATCAAAATATTTTCAGTATCTTGAGTTCAGAGAAATTGTTGGGTTTCTCTTCCAGAGAGGGATCTCAAAGCAGTTCAGCAAAATGGTCACCGCCAGAAAACTACAAAAAGTGAGTTGCACTTGCCAAGCAGTTGTTTCTGCCTTATGGCCTTTAGGGCCATTCTCTTGCCCTATGGTGGCCAGCAACAGTGGGGCTTATGATGTGGGTATTTGCTTGTTCTGCATTAGATTAAGGATGGAGCTTTTGTTCTGTGGTTTGGGTTGTGAGTTTGTTTGGAGGGGTGGGAGGTGTGCTCTTTTGAATAGACTGAAGGGGCACCTGCCTGTGATTATCTGTGACTGATCAGGGTTGACTTGGAAACAAGAACCTGGTGGTGAAATGTTCCTTATCTCCTGGGAAGTGGTACCAGGTGTGTGCACCTGCTAAGGTTTTCCTTACTCTTAGGAGTAATTCATTGTGCCGATATTGGAGAGCCTGATACGGGAGAGAGTAGTTTCTGTTCTGCACTGACATTCTTCAAATAGCCTGTTGGGTTCATAGGATGCTTTTGTATCTCCAGGTTTAACCCCCTGTTCTCAGTTGTCATGTCCTGTTCTTTTCCCAGGCGTGTGGCAGCTTTTGAGGCTAAGCAAAACCAGCTGAAAGAGCATCAGAAGGCAGCTGCAAAATCCCTGGGTCAAGCAGGCTCCAGATACCAGGGGCTCTCAAAAGAGGATAGAGCTATTGCAGAGAGACTGGAGAGGCTCAGGGAGGAAAGGAAACCAAGTGAGTTTTGAAGAAAACCAGAAATGCCTTGGTTGGGAACACTGCTACTTGGGACACATGGAACCTGGGGGGAGAGGGAAGATGCTTTAGGGAAGCGAAGGCTTAAAATAGAACAGAGAATCCAAGTCCTGCTGCCAACAGTGGCCAGATTCTACAGTGATTTTTAGATTAACATTCCAGTTTAATTTTGCTTCATGGGGTTTCCCTTGAAACTTCCTCTCAGTTTTGAGGCAGTATCTTACCTGTACAATCACTTTCTCATTTTCTGTTGTTTGGGGTAAAAGCCTATGTCAAGCTCAACTAGAGCAGAATGAAACGAAAGTCTTTGGCCAAGCTATTTTTCAGAGGCTTTCCTGTGGGTCATTGTCCTGGGCAACAGCAGTTCCAGACTCTGTGGGACTATATTCTGGCCAGTCTTGCCTCACAGAGAAGGTAAAGGACTCTTACCGCAGTCCACATCTGTCAGGTTGTGGGACAGCTTGTGAGGCTTGAATAAACTATGTAAAAGATATGTGATCTGTAAAAGGAAAAGAAAACCCTGCTAAGTGGTTACTTGATTATCATGGAATAATTTAGGTTGGAAAAGACCTTTAAGATCATCAAGTCTAACTGTGAATCCAGCACTGCCAAGTCCACCACTAAAACTGTCCCTAAGTGCCACATCTACATCTCTTGAATACCTCCTAGGATGGTGACTCAACCACTTCCCTGGGCAGCCTGTTCAAGTGTTTAACAACCCTTTCTGTGAAGAATTTTTTCCAATCTAAACCTCCCCTGGCACAACTTGTGGCCATTGCCTCTCATCTGTCAGGAGAGGGTTTCAGTCTGATGTGCCTAGGATTGCATTCAGAGATGTAGGGGCAATGGACTGTACTGCTTAAATGACACTTGTTTCTCTGTCTGTCCCTAATATCCTGAGTCAGCTGTCTGCCAAATGACATAACCCTAATATTCACCTTATGGCTAGGAGATAAACTGTGAAGGAGGCAAAGATTCAGAAGACAAGGATAGCAGTTGGGTAGTCTTCAAATTACTGCAGTATGATCCCTCATTCACATCAGGGCTGAGAAAGGATTTTGCTTAGGTGTTCAGAGTCTGATTCCAGAAAGAAATACAATTTACAAAAAATAAAATTCAAGCCTTTTGTTTTCAATAATAGAATAATCTGCTCCCTTGGGTTATTCTGCATTGCAGAGTCCATCCCTACTCAGGCTGAGATCGAAGCTAGGCTGGCAGCCCTGAAGGAGGATGGCATGGGGCCTGTTTTATCCACACAGGAAATGGAGGACCGGTTGGCTGTCCTGCAGGGGAGAGATCCTCCTTCCCAGGCTCCCAGACCTGTAAGCTCCCTCATCTCTTTAGTCAGCAGTGTATTCTGAGCTGATACAGTAACTAGTGTTAATGGCATGTTAACTGTTCTTCCTTCTTCGAGTTTCTTTTGTGTCCAGGTGACTTCCTTCAGAAATCTCCATTGCCTGTTTGTGTCATTGCTCCAGAAGCAAATGGCCAGCCTTTACCAGTTCACTGTCTCAACCTGAATGCAATCTGTTCCTTTAAGTCAGATATAGTTCCTGTGTGTATTTTTAACAATAGATGCTGGTTTTTTACTCTCAACGCATTTGTACCCCTAAATGTTAATAGTTTTTCCGAGCTGTTTGTCTCTGTTTGGGGCTTATCAGCCTTACCTTTTCTAATTGTATCTTGTAGTTGTTCCTGCGTACCAGCTGGGAAAACTCCCATTAATTATTCCAGAAATGGAAGGACAGTGTGATTTGTCTGGGGTTGCAGAGGAATGAGTTGTTTATATGCCTTGAAAGCCTATAGGATTGATCTTGTCCCCAAGAAATTGTTTCCTCATGCTCCCTTTTCAGCTGCATGCCTGGCTGTTACCATAGGCCTCAGTGGGGCTGCTGGTGGCACTGTTGAGAATAGCACTTTGTTTACATTGGAGGTAGTGGCAGAGCTGGGGGTTGGGATGCAGCAGCATGTACTCCTGTACATTCAGCACCACTTTGCCTTGTTCAGGTGGTTCCTGTTAGAGCTGTGTGCATTTGGCATCGCTAAAAACAAAGCCCTGAAAGTCTTGCACCACATAACTATAAGATGAGATTCTCAGTATTGGTGGAGGCATCTTTTTATGCTGCTCCCACCTAGGGTCATCTTGGTTGCCAGACTCTTCCTTCGATTGAGTGAGCCATTTTCCTTTCATTCGCCTTTTCTCATGACCTCCTTGTTTCTTAGGTATACCAACCTCCTGATACCAGAAGTCTGGTCCAGCAGAGAGATGACCTGTTAACTCAGCTATCTGAGGAAGTTGCCATTGATGAGCATTACAGACCAAGAGTTCAGCCTCAAGGTATCTATTTTGGCTTCCAAAGACCTATTTCTGTCTAATAATCTTATGTGCTATATTGAGAAGGGAATATGTGCCTCCTTATCTAGCTTACAGGTGAGCTGGGTGTCCAATTTGTCCTTATTTCTTCCCCTTAGTACCCCCAAAATTGAACAAGAGCATCTATCTGGGTCTCAGTATCTTTGCTTGGACATGATTCCTTCTTGTCAGGATGGTATTCACAGTGCTCCTCTCTGATTCTCTAAGGTGACCCTTCTCTGGGGAGGAGCTGCTGCTACTCCTAATGTACCCGTGCACTGTTACAAAACATTGGAATCTGAGATACCATTGTCTTCCTAGCTGCAGTGCTTTCTCTGTAATCTCACTGTAAACTCTAGATTAGCTTGCTTTCTTCTCTTCATGTACAGTGAAGATTCTACTGGCGTGCTTGCTCCCATTATTACCCAGATTAATGGAAAGCAGCAAGCTGCTGTTGTAGCATTGCTTTAGTCTGTTTTCTGTGCCCAAGGAATGTTGCTGCATAGTGACCAGTATGCTCTGTGTGTCTGTCTGCAGCTGTTACTAGCCAAAGTTTGAATGATCTCAATCGGGAGAGCGAAGGTTGTGTTTGCCCTGCAAATCTGGACCCAAAACAGCTAGAGGAAGAGAAAAATAAACTTTTGGCAGAAGCTGCTGCTGAACTGCGGGAAGAGAACACTAGGCAGGAAAAGATCCTACAAGTTGCCAAGAGACTGGCAGCGCTTAAAGGCGAGGACCCAGAGAAAGGTGGGTAGCAGATGAGAATACAGTGCCAAGAGAGGAATAGAATTGCTGTGACAAACTAATTTATTTTCAGAGGAGTGTTTATCCATTTAATTGCTCTGCTCTTCAAGAAACTGATTGAGATTTGGTTCTGTCTGTAAAGTTGTACAGGTTGGTTCATCATGAAATCAGTATGAAAGATCTAAGTTGAGGGTAAATGTTAGAGCTGTAAGATCAGACTACTTCATCTTGAACTCTTCTCTGGATAATTCTAGCATGCTGTGATGAAGTTAACAAAGCTATTCGAAAGCAAAGCTCTGGTTTTCATGGGGATTTTTTTTCTTCCCTCTTCCAGTATTAAAAAATTGTGACATCCTTTTTGAGGTGTCTACATCTGAAAGGATCTGTCTGAGTCAGAGCCAGAATGCCAAAACCAGCTTAAACCACAAAGAATTGTCTCTGGCACATAGGTGGGCACTAGTTTTGGGGCAGGTATGGGTTACAGTCTACTGTCTCTTACTCCTACAGTTACACTGGAAACTTATAAACTCCCTGACAGTGATGAGGAAGTGGCTGAGGAGGAAGCCATTCGCAGAGTGCTAAAACAGGTCAGAAGTGGCAGCTGTGGCCTTGTTTATCTTCCTCTCAGTTATGCCCAGTGTGTATGTTACCTGGTGAGCATATTAAGGATGTGTTTCTGTTCCTGGGAAAAGTTTCATTCATTCTCCTCCTAGTGCTTTTCCGTTACTGGCTCCCAAGGGTGATGCAGCTAAAGGCAATTTGCAATAATACTTCTAGTCTGTCATATTGTCTTTCTTATGTTAGTGTCTCTTGTGGTCTATGTGTCTCCTGTCCAACCCCACTCTGCTGGTACTTCCTTACTTCTTGTTCCATCTTTTCCCCCACCCAGTTAGGACATGGATGGATAGTGAGATGTGTGCTGTGCAGCACAGCTTACACCTACATTTCTGTTTAAAATGTCTCTGAATTATCTTGCAGACAGACTTGAGCTTGCTGTGCTTAATCTCTCTGATTACAGACCACATGTTTATGATGTTGAGGGTCTGCTGATAGCTGTGCCACAGAGCAGTGTGTTAGCTGCAGGCCTCTGCTGCTGCACTGGCTGTCCACAATGTACACACAGTATTCTGAGTGCAGACAGAGCAAGGTCACATCTGGCTGGATAACAGCAGATGTATTCAGACTTGTCGTCTCCTGTTACTGCATGAGAACAAGGAGAAGGGCAGGGGGTTTAGGGCCTAGAATGAGGCTCCCAACTGTGTTTGAAACACAAGGCTTTTTGCTTTCTGTTGTTACTAGCTGACAGAGGAAGCAGCCTTGGATGAAGCAACTGGATTCAACATTCCTCCAGATCAGACCACCCAACCAGGACCCTCACAGCAGAACCTCCATAAGAAAGCAAAGCAAAAGGTCAGTCAGCTGATCAGCATCTCTTGAATTGACATGTTCCATGGTCTCAGGAGAGTACAGTTCTCCCACAAAAATTTGCTGTATCCTAGACTTGATGCAGGAAAAAAACAAACCAACCAGCTTCTCCAGAGCAGGCAAGCCAAGTGGCTTCTGCAAGGCTGAACAGCCCTCAGCTATGAATTATCCTTGTACTTCCAAAAAGAATTGCTCCCTGGAATACAATTCCTTTCAGACTGACTTTTTGTTGAATGTTAGTGTGTCATCTAAACTGAGACAAATTAGCATAGATTTCACTATAT